TCACATTTGCCCGTTTTATGTTTTTGTATTTTAAAAAGTGTATAATTAAGTCCTGTATGACCAAATCTTAACCTTGTTATCACTCTTTCCTCCTTTCTATTTCTTCTTCCATTTCTTCTTTCTCCTACCATCTTCTGAATTTTATAAAACCATCTTCCTGTTTTATCTTCATCCCACCTTTTTTGCCAAATTTCCATAAGTTTCTCTTTAATAATACTCTTTCCTTCTGATTTACTTATTTTAACTATAAAACTAATAGAATGTTTAATTGCCCTTTTTGCCATTTTATCTGCCCACTCGTTTCCTTCTACCCCAATATGTGCTGGAACCCACACAAATGTAACTATCAGCCCCATGTTTCGTATTCTGAACAGTGTATGATTTATTTCTAATAAAATGTCCATCCTACTATCTGTTTGGTTATTTTTTAAACTTAACAATGCGGAGCTTGAATCTGAACAAATGACTGATTTTAACGGTTTTATATCTTCTACCCATTGTAATGCTAATAATATTGCCAACATTTCTCCTGTGTATACTGATAATCCATCTGTAATCCGTTTTCCTATTTTTATATTGAATTCTGGTACTACAAATGCTATTCCTAATTTCTCAGTCATTTTTGATGCATCGGTATAAATTTGAATATATTGATAATAACTGTCTAAATATAACTGTACTAAATTGATATCTACCGTGTACGATTTATCTTGTTTCTTTTCCATTAGTGACATATCTACTGTTGCTTCTGGTAGAATCCAGGGAGGTATAATTGATATTGGTGTTGTTTGACTCATTTCTAAACTATTCATTTTAAATTTTTTAATTTTATTTTCAATTGTCCATCCAAAACTCCTCATTTCTTTCTTTTCTTTTTCCCAGCATGGATTTAAAATGTCCAAAGTTGGGTGATCCCCTTTATTTCCTTGTAAATTTAACCAGTAATTGATTTCTAATTTTGTTCTTCTTAAATCTAATGGCATTCTCCCATTTCTATTTCTAATGCTGGTGTTGGTGTGGTTTTAAATGCTCCAGTACATAATCTTAGTGCCTGATGTTGGATAATGTCTAATTTGGTTAGATGTGTTTTAGCTGCTGAACCGTAAACTAAACAACCAAAGTCTATGTTGGATCTTATCATACTTGTGTAAATCTGTTTTAGTGATTTCCTATCTGCTCCCCAGTCACTGCCAGCCAAACATCTCAAAATATTCAAGATTTTCTTACATTTATCAACAACTTTTTGTATATGTATATGCCATTTTAATTTTTCATCAAACCATAATCCTAAAAATTTTATACACTTTACCTGCTCTAACTCTTGTTTATATAATTTTATTTCCTTGTTTATTTTTTTCTGAGTAAATAACATTACTTTTGTTTTATCAACTGAGAATTTAAATCCCCATTGCAACGCCCATTTCTCTATTTCAATAATAACCTTTTGTAATTTTTTAACAATAAAATCAACATTTTTCCCTCGTTTCCAAACAGCTCCATCATCTGCAAATAGTGAACACCCCATGTCTTTTTCAATATCTTTAAATACATCGTTTATCATAATTGAGAACAAAAGTGGACTTATAATACTCCCCTGTGGAGTTCCATTTTCTACTTTATATTTTCCTGAGGTAGTTTCTCCTATTCTAACTTGTATTTTCCTACCTGTTAAAAAGTCTTTAATCCATTTAAATATTCTCCTTTAATACCAATCTTGTATAATTTAATTAATAATCCATCCACCCACATCATGTCATATGCCTTTTCTATATCAAAGAATATAGCCACTACACTTTCTTTATTTACTTGTGCTCTTCTAATTTCGTGCTCTAAACAGAGCGTTGGATCGTTAGTGCTCCTCCCTTTTCGAAAACCACTTTGATATTTTGATATATATCCTTTACTATTTAGATAATATACTAGTCTATTATTAATAATTTTTTCCATTATTTTACATAAATTAGATGTTAAGGCTATTGGTCTGTAGTTTTCTGGGTTTGAATGATCTTTCCCTGGTTTGGCTATTGGTATAATAATTGATTCCTTCCAGCTCAACGGTAATTTTCCCTCCTCCCAAATTTTATTATATAGGTGTAATATTATATCTTTAGATTTTTCACTAAGTTGCCCTATCATTCTATACCAGATTTGGTCTTTACCTGGTGCTGTGTTTTTTGTCTTTTTAAGTGCATTGTTCAATTCCGTTTTTGTAAACTCAACATTTAACAAATTATTTGTTTCTTCACCGCTCTGTATAAAATCTTTATATTTAATTTTTGTATTTTCTCTACCTTTTCTTCCATTTTCACTAATATTATTTGAACTATGAATTTTACTGAATGTTCTTGCCAATATTTCAACTTTATCTTCATCTCTTATTACGTTTGTATCATCTATTTTTAGAACAGGATAGTCAAACTCTCTTTTAATACCATTCATTATTTTGATTACTTTCCAAATTTTCTCTATTTTTGTTTCTTTCCCTATCGTATTACAGAATTTTTTCCAATATTCTCTTTTTGCATTCTTTATAGTTCTCCTTACTATTGCTTGTTTTCTTTTATAATCAATTAAATTTTTATAAATTGGATTATGTTTGAGTGTCTTAAATGCTTTATTTCTTAACTTTATTGCTTCTTTACACTCATTTGTCCACCATGGAACCATTTTCTTATCGTTCTTACTCCCTGATTTCTTTATAGAATTATCTGCTGCTTCCATTATTATTTTACCAATTATTAAATTTAAATCATTTATATCCATACTCATGTCTACTTTTTCTAAGTTTATTTGACTCAAATATCTAAATTTAGTCCAGTCAGCCTTATTAAAATTATACTTTTTCCCAATTTTAATATTCCTATTATTTAAATTTAGACCTACTCTTACTATTATGGGGTAATGATCGCTACCTATTGTAGATTTTTTATCAATAAACCAATCACAAATACCAGCTAAAACATTTGAGACAATTGTTAAATCAATAACTGATTCCATCCCTGTTCTTATATTGATTCTTGTTCCCTTTCCATCATTAATACATACTAGATTTTTCATTTCCATTATTTCTTCTATAACTTGTCCGTTTTTATCATTACATTTACCCCACACTGTACTATTTGCATTAAAATCTCCACACCAAATTACCTTCCCTTCCAAATATTCAGTTAACTCCTCCATTATTTCAATCGATAATGTTTTACATGGATTATAAAAATTTATTATTTTTAATTTACCTTCTTTTTCCCATATCTCAATTACTACATATTCTAGTTCTTTCCCTTTCCCCAATATCTGATATTGTATTCCTTTTTTGATAAATATTGCACATCCTCCTCCACTTCCCTCTGCTCGATCTCTTCTTACACTATCATATCCTTTAATCACAAAATCTAATGATGTTTTTAACCATGTTTCCTGAACACAAATAATTTCCGGTTTTTCTTCCAGCTCATCAATATAACCTTTAAGTTCCTGTCCATTAGCGATTAAACTTCTAGCGTTCCATTGTAGTATTAACATGAACCGTTTTCACCCGAAGGTCCTGGTCTCCCATCTTCCTCCAACTTTTTATTAATGTTCTCCCATGATCCCTCTTTAAATCCCAAAAACTTTTCAGCTCCTCTCACTATTATTTTAATCTTCTCAGTTTTGTGTTTGGCTTGGTCAGTGCAGTTGATAACATAAGCTATGAATAATATTAGTTTTTCCACTGGAATTGTGGCTTTTTCTTCTGTCTGTACTTTGCTTTGTTGTGTAGTTTGTCTCACTGTTTGTTTAATCTCTCTTGTTTCCTGTTCCTTCACATTCTTAACTGCTTCTGCATAGCTTATGTTTTTAGTTGTTTTAATCTGTACGATTTCTTTTGCCCTTTTCCTTACTTCACATCCTCCAAACGTGACTCTATGGCTCCCTCCACAGTTACAACATTTTTCTTGTTCTTCTTTACACTCTTCTAATTTGTGATCTTCTCCACATTTTGGGCATCTTTGCCTCCCTTTGCAGACTGCTGCTATGTGTCCATATCTTTGGCATTTGAAACACCGAAGTGGTGGAGGTACATATGGTCTGACCTGAAAATTGAGGTATCCTATTTTGATGTTTTTTGGCAGCTCTTCATCTTCAAATTCAATAAGGATTGACAAGCTTCCTACTCTTTCTCCATTCACTGTTTTTGATAATCTTTTCAAGTTGTTCACCTTTGCACCCACAACACTTCTCTTGATTTTATCAAGATCTTCATCAAGAGGGATCCCATAAATCACTCCTCTAATTTTTTTATTTTCTCCCATGATTTTTTTCTCCAGAACAGTTCTTTTGCAGATACTCTCCACATTTAAAGCCTTATTCTTTTGTTCTATATCTTTACATATCACCAATAGGTTTCCGTCTCTCAAAATCTTTACCATTTCAACATCTCCAATTTTCTTTTTTATTTCTCTTGATACCACAATGGGACTGATTTTATCCTTTTCTTCCTCATTTTTAAGTTTTAATATTACTTTAAATTCCTCCCTCACAACTTTCCTCCTGACCACCCTTTCTTCTTCTGAGCTACTTCCTTCCAATTCCCGTTTATTACCTTGACTGTCACCTTTTCCCCTTCCTTCATCAGTTTTATTTCTTCCACGACCTCTCCCTCTCCCTCTTCCCGCAGGCGTCCACCCTTCAAAATCCTCGTCTTCCTCATTTCCTATCTCCATTTCCATCCGAACCATTCACATACCAGTTTATGCCAAATCCGCCTTCTCTCAAGTGATGTTTCTGCTTTGAATTTTTCCGCGTCCAACACAAACGTTCGCCACACGTGCTCAACCGCTCCAAGCAATGACGTCTGTCTTACTCCAGATCACCTGCATGGAATGGCTTTAGGGGTGGCCAACGATTGGCCATCCCCCCCTCCTCTACATTCGCACTCCTCTACATTCGCCCCAGCCTGTAGCCTGAAATTAGAGCTAAAAAAATTGCCTCTCATAGCCTGTCAGACTAAACTCAGGGATTTTTCCGCTCATTCTCAACAGTGCCGACGTCATACTCTTAGTAGTGACTGCTGATACCAAGATGGCGCTGCGGCCAGGATCTGGGGGTGGCAGCAGGTATTTTAGCCTTTTTGAAACATGACCAATTGGCACAGAATTATAACTTTATCACACGGTCTCCCATACGTGTTACCAACCTTTGTATTCAAATGGCCGTTCAAAGGATTTACCTTTAACCCGGATTTTGTTGTCGTAAGAGAGTGATGAGATGGCTGGCTGTCAGGTGTCTCAGCTAACGTTAGCCCTCTGCCTCTGTCTGGTTGTAGTCATGGATGAACAAAGTAACCCCCTTAAAGGTTTTTTTTTTTTTTTACTCATTTCAAATATTCCCTATTGCTTGTTATCTCCGATGGATGAAGGCATATGACGCCATGTTTGTTAGAGATGTGCTCATTAATTTAATCCCCTTTAGCCTCTAGCTAAATGCAGGTATGTTGACAGGCCTGTTTGCACTTTCTTTCACTTTATAAAGCGTCTTTAAATGAAACAAGGTATTTTAGATAAGGGTTATTATAAAAATATTTTAACAGGGACCTTTTACCCTCCAATTCAAGCGGTTTATGTCACAACTTATTTATCATTAGTCATATTTATTATTATTCTGTATAGTTAGATATTCCTGTATTGAAGCATGCTCCTCTAAAGAGCTGGAGATACTACAGTCTATTAAAATGGGTGTTATTTTCTCTGTTGAAAAATGGCCACTGCCATAACTTATTTATTAGAAGCGGCTTGAATAATAAATATGCTTCTGCTAGAGTCACCTCAGCTAGACAGGTGAAACTGATCCAACTTGTGAAACCAAACACTTCAACACTGTAGATCAGCCTGGTCAGAAATAAACACTGAAGGTCCTTTAGTGATTATTGAATAGCAATTTATCTCCTTTTCTATCCCTGTGATGGTACCCATAAAGCACCAAAGCAGATTTTAATGACAGATCATGTAATGTCATTAGTAACATCAACAGCATTCGCTGGATATTACTGTTGATTCTTAAATCTTCAATTGGTTATTGTTAAAGATAGGCTCTGTGTTTGCACCCTGATGCTCTACCTCTCCGGTTCTTTTCCCTGAAAAGAGATCACTGGGGACAAACTCTTTAAATAACACTTCATAATTTATATGTATTATAAATAACCAGGAGACATGACGACAGATTTTGATAGAAATTGAATCTTACTCAGATCAGAGAAGTTGCTTAGAGTGTACAGAATAGCAGCTGCTCACCTCTCAGGAAGTGGCCCTGATTAACAGTTAAAAAAGGCATTTTATACATCTCCAGTCTGCCACATCATCATATTTTATCAAATGCCTTATCAAAATAGGATGCCGCTCTCATTCCATTTCCAAATCTTTGCCACGTACAAAATGAATATTATAACTGTATATTAAGACTGAGGAGCTGTCCTATTTAGATTAAAACGTCAGTTCTGTTACCGATCGTGTATTTTTCTAAATAAGGTGAAATAATTAAGTTCTTTAAAATGCGTCGTGTTTTGTTTCCCTTCCTATGAGTGTATTTACACTATTGGAATATGTTACACAAAAGCCATATTTTTGGAAAAAGACCCCAATTTGAAAATCCCAAACCTATATCTCTTTACTTTGATTCCAGTTCATTTTCATTTCTCCTTTAAGCGCTTTGGTTGGAAAAGATGTCAGGACAGTATCCTTCTAGCCTGTGTGCTGTAAGGGGCCATTTATTATTTATATAGCAATCAGAGATGATGCTGTGCAGCCGTGTGAAACAGCATACGGCGTAAAGCAGGTTTTACTAATATTTAGAAGGGTAGCTTCATGGAAAAAATAAATGCAATAAAAAAATCCTAAGGCTGAAATTACTATTAGCTAATATACAAAACTGCAGTACATTTTTATGCAAGCAATATATTAAGTAATGCTTTTTTTTTTAGAAGACCTTTGATTAATTTAGAAATTATAATTGTTTGATTGCCAAAACAACAGATGCAACTCTCCAATCATAAAATGGAAATAAATTTTTTTTTTGATAGAGCCCACCTGCTATCTGAGGTCATTGTTTGCAATGACACATTAGCAGAAAGACAGTATATGTGTTTAGCTAAGTGTGTTTTATCATTTCCATGTCTTGTTACTGTGAAAGTCACCAACATTGCTGGTTCTGCATCATCCACTGATACTTTGAGTCTTATTGCCAGGATATATCGCTGGTTTTCAACCATTACAGGCAGATTACTGAAAGTTCTCACATTTCCCAATTCCACATCTTCTTTTCTTGTAGATGTTTAATCATTTCTGAATTCATGTCTATGAACAGTCTGTTTTTATTGGCATTCGGCTCATATCTTTATAAAGCCTCTTTAGAGTTGTATTTTTAAAAGAATATTACCTACGGCTAAGCTGACATTTTTGTTAATTTCATCTAAGCTGCTTATCAACACAGTAAGCAAGACTTTCTTATAAATATGTAGTAAAAACTGTGATGGATGCATGTCCTGCTCTAAGAGGCATCAGACGTGTATCCTATCATGTGACGATGGATTCACGCAGCATCTCTCCCTGATACATGTGACTGTCATGAATGGCCTTATGCTTTTAAACACAAGCCAATTTTCCAAGCAAAGGTCACGTTTTTATCCTGCTGCAGAGCAAGAATACAATCAAACTCTAATGCAGATGAGTTTTTTTTTAAAGCAAAAAGACCACAGTAGTGTGTTGATGGCTGGTGGAAGACGCCGTCTTGGGGCTGCTCAGTGTCCGCAGCTGCTGTATCTGCTTATCCCCTCCCATGTTAATCTGCTCAGCCGTGACCTTTTGTCTGCTGCAGGATGGTGGCCAGCAGGTCTGTTGTGCTCTTAGAAAAAGCCTCTTCAAGCAGCAAATCTTACAGGCATTTGATGTGTGTGAAAAATCATTACTCAAATGATGACCAGCGTACTGGTTAAAGGACCTGTTAGGGAACATCTACAGTATGACCTCCTGCTTTTAGGTTACCTTTACATCGCTCTTCTAATTTGTGTAGATGAGACTGCTCTTCTGGAATATCTTCCAGTCTTGATTAATGTTAACTATTTTTGGCCTCTTTGAGAGTGCTACCATAAAGCTATAAACACAATAGAAATGTATCAGTTTTTGAAGCAGATTTTTTTTAAATATATATATATATATATATATATATATATATATATATATACACTATATTGCCAAAAGTATTTGCTCACCTGCCTTGACTCACATATGAGCTTAAGTGACATCCCGTTCCTAATCCATAGGGTTCAATATGACGTCGGTCCACCCTTTGCAGCTAGAACAGCTTCAACTCTTCTGGGAAGGCTGTCCACAAGGTTTAGGAGTGTGTTTATGGGAATTTTTGACCATTCTTCCAGAAGCGCATTTGTGAGGTCGCACACTGATGTTGGACGAGAAGGCCTGGCTCTCAGTCTCCGCTCTAATTCATCCCAAAGGTGTTCTATCGGGTTGAGGTCAGGACTCTGTGCAGGCCAGTCAAGTTCATCCACACCAGACTCTGTCATCCATGTCTTTATGGACCTTGCTTTGTGCACTGTCATGTTGGAAGAGGAAGGGGCCAGCTCCAAACTGTTCCCACAAAGTTGGGAGCATGGAATTGTCCAAAATGTCTTGGTATGCTGAAGCATTCAGAGTTCCTTTCCTTGGAACTAAGGGGCCAAGCCCAGCTCCTGAAAAACAACCCCACACCATAATCCCCCCTTCACCAAACTTTACACTTGGCACAATGCAGTCAGGACAAGTACCGTTCTCCTGGCAACCGCCAAACCCAGACCCGTCCATCAGATTGCCAGATGGAGAAGCGCGATTCGTCACTCCAGAGAACGCGTCTCCACTGCTCTAGAGTCCAGTGGCGGCGTGCTTTACACCACCGCATCCGACGCTTTGCATTACACTTGGTGATGTATGGCTTGGATGCAGCTGCTCGACCATGGAAACCCATTCCATGAAGCTCTCTGCGCACTGTTCTTGAGCTAATCTGAAGGCCACATGAAGTTTGGAGGTCTGTAGTGATTGACTCTGCAGAAAGTTGGCGACCTCTTCGCACTATGCGCTTCAGCATCCGCTGACCCCGCTCCGTCAGTTTACGTGGCCTACCACTTCGTGGCTGAGTTGCTGTCGTTCCCAAACACTTCCATTTTCTTATAATACAGCTGACAGTTGACTGTGGAATATTTAGGAGCGAGGAAATTTCACGACTGGATTTGTTGCACAGGTGGCATCCTATCACAGTTCCACGCTGGAATTCACTGAGCTCCTGAGAGCGACCCATTCTTTCACAAATGTTTGTAAAAACAGTCTGCATGCCTAGGTGCTTGAATTTATACACCTGTGGCCATGGAAGTGATTGGAACACCTGATTCCAATAATTTGGATGGGTGAGCAAATACTTTTGGCAATATAGTGTATATATACCATATTAAAAATGGGGTCAGTTTTAATATACATTTAATGTCTTTGTGCCTTATGGGTCAGCTCTCCGCCTGATATGTTGATATCGTCTCTGTCTTTATTCTCTGTCCTCCTTTGTTGACTTCAGCCTAAAGAATTAAGTGGTAATAAGTTCTTTGACAAATAGCTGAAGGCTTGTGTAGTTAAAGTCGGGAGGGGGCTTAGCCGACTTGGAACGATTTGCACCGATTATTTCTTGAAGGCTTGTTTGTTTGTCCAAAACACCAACAACAGACTCCAAGAGGCCTGGGGACACCAAGCTGCAGTCAGGCTGTTTCCTCGTCTCTCTTCTTTCTCTCCTCTATATTCTGGTGCAACAGAACAGCTGAGCTTTCTCTTTCTAAGCCGGGTATTTTTGTTAGACTCTACAATTATTTTTCCCCAGACTATATCGATAAAATATATTCTTTATTGTTTTCTTTTGAGATTATTCTAATACAAAGTTCCAGTTCATAATAGAAACAATTTAATGGAATTTGATCCTCAGTGTAATATTATAACCTCGCTGCTTTAAAGTGCCAGATTTTCTCACTAGTACACAATCTACAATGGTTTTGTTTTGATGCAACTCATTAGGGTTGATCGGCTAAATTCTGTTGAGACAAAACTTGTTAATTTGCTTCACAAACTCAGCATCTTTGGGGGAATTTAATGTTTACATTTGTAACCAAGAATACAAATTCCTAACATGAACACATTAATGTTGAAAGCCCATTTTTTTGTAAAGCAAAACCAATAATGCAACATCTGTATCTGACATTATTATCTGTATTTTTATTTCCCTAGCTTTATGTATCCTGTTGGTGGGGGCCTGGGACCACCACAAGGTAAGTTAATGCAGAGTTAACATTTTGGTCATTATTTACCAGATAACTTTCTTGAGGGTGCACAATACCAGAAGGGTTAGCTCTGCTTCAAAAATAATGTTTCTGACCGGTGCATGCATGAAGTTTCTGCTTTGTTCAGACTTTTTTCCACTTAACCTACCATCAATATGCACGGCTACAGCACTGTGAAGCAGCCATCAACTCTAACAGTAGCATTCTGATACTTAGTCTCTTATTTATATTTAAATTTTGCTTATTTGGATGAGTTATAATAATCTTATAGAAATATATGCTCATTTTTGTTAAACGCATTTTTAACTAATGCATATGTGTTTATTTTTCTGTAGCAGCGTTAAACTTTCAGCATCGCCACACAATGTTAATGTTGTGAGCTATCCGTGACTAATCAGATTTCACCCCACTGTTATTTTTTTCTTAATGTAAGCCTCCTGATAAGCTGCTCACGCACCACTGGGACGCTTCTGCATGCTTCTATTAGCAGCGTCCTTCCAGTCAGACTCATTAGGATGTGAGCCACTCTTAAACAAGCCATTTATCCAGCCCAATTGAGCCCTGAATCACCAGGAGGCTCCTGTAGGAGCTGAGTGCTCAGTTTATCAGCTTGCTTAGCATCTGTGAACATGAACGCACTCTTTTCCAATGCTTCCCCCACTTCCATCCACTGCTCTTGTTTTGCTCCAAGCTGTCGTTGTAGTCACCAGGAAAGATGATTTAGTTGTTGTAGTGCAGGGGTTGGCAACCCAAAATGTTGAAAGAGCCATGTTGGACCAAAAAACAAATACAAATAACAAATCTGTCTGGGGCTGCAAAAATGTAAAAGTTTTATATAAGCCTCATATGGCAACACAAGCTCTAAGTGTTTTAGCCCACTATAAAAAAGGACTACTACTATTTTCATAAATTTAAAAAAAAAACTCCAGGGAGCTGCAAGGGGGGGTGCTAAAGAGCCGCAGGTTGACGACCTCTGTTCTAGTGTCTATTTGTGTCCTCAGCTTCTCAGAGTCCTGTTCAAACATGCCAGACTTTTATTTGTTTTGTTTTTTTTTACCTTAGATTAATGCTTGATGCCACATTGTGTAATTTGAACTGGACTCTGTGCTGGGCTTCAATTAGTAATTGAGGGTCTTCTTCTGTGATACATCGGCATGTCTGTGCAGGAATGGTCCCAATGCAGCAGCAGCAGCCGCAGCAACAGCAGGGATTCCCAATGGTTCCTGTCATGCAGCCCAACATGCAGGGAATGATGGGGATGAACTTTGGGGGACAGATGCCCCCAGGAGCCATTCCAATGCAGGTTAGCTTCCCTTTATGTACTTGAACTCTGTTTTTTTTATTTAGAAATTAGCACTTTAAACAGACTATTATTCGGTCTGATTCACTGGTACAGAATATTGCCTTAAGGACTTAATATATGTATTTTTCAACCTGTACATTTATTGCTTCCCCCGTCGCCACTTAATTTAACATTAGCATTTTCTCAAGCTGCTTCACAAATTTGTTTGAATTTACAGCATTCTGGGGGTTTAAACAGGACTGCATAACGTTAATGTCATTGTATTTTACCTCAACGAGAACATTTAATGTCAAGTTAAAAATGCTCCAGGAGACCAATGTGATTTCTCAGCCCCTTCCTGTGTGTTTTTATCATTCTATAGGGTGGAATGGCAATCGGGATGCAGACCCCTGGGATGCCATTTTTAGGGCAACCACAGTTCATGGGCATGAGACCCCCTGGACCCCAGTACACAGCTGACATGCAGAAACAGATGGCTGAGGAGCACCAGTAAGCTACACGCTAATATGTCATTTCTGCTTTCTCTTACCTGCATCCATTTCATATCAGCAGTTACCTGTTTTATGACAGGTAACTAAAAGTGAAATATAAAAGTAAAATGGTACATATTTCTGAGCTTATGCAGATGTAAAGTTTTCTATGTTTTCAGAGTTTTACGGATTAATATCTTCTGAAATGGAAAATCTTACTCAAAAGCAAAAGATTTAGGGTTGTAGCCATGTGTTCTTTCTTTATTTTTTATTTTATATCACTTTACTAGGGAGGGCCATGAAAAACAAGCAGCCTTTTGTCTGCTCAGGACAAAATAAAAAGATTTTTGTAAACCAATGTAACAGAATTAAATTTGACCCAAAAAGTGAGAAATCGGTGCACCTTTCTTAAATAAAGGCAAAGGTCTTAGACCCATTTCTGGGCCTGAAATAATTGCTACTTTCTCTTCTTTTTGTCAAAGACATGTAGCTTTTTTTAATATTTCCCTAAGCAGGTAAAAAGAAACCAAAAAGCTACCAAATTATTTCATCTTTTAATTGAAATCCAACATATGACCCATGGCCACACACAACTAGCCTACAGTTCTGAATATTTAGAGTAAAATGGCCGAATTCTGGGGTGAAAATGGCTAATAGGAACTTTTCAAAAAGCTGTCATTCAGAAATCAACCAAAAGGTATTTTGATTTGAATGTTATTGATCAGCACCGATCTTCTGAAACTGAATCTGTAAGTACATTGCCCACCCCATCCTGTCTGATCAGTGGTGTAGATCTAATTAGTCCTACTATCAATGGATGGTCAAGCATAAAACTAGCAGGGATTTTTTCATAAAAGCAAAAGCAAAGCAAGACTCCCAGAGATAGAAAGTGAGCCATTTTAAATATTCTTCTTCAATAAGGTGTTTTTACTTAAAAATTCACCATAACAATCCTGTTTTTTTTCTGAGGATCTGTAATATCTTCTGAAATAAGAGCCACGCTGTGTTTCCTATAAATATAATCGCCTATGAATCTTACTGTACAGTTTGGAAGGTCATCCTCATAGTTGACCGACAGATATATTAGTACTGCTATCATTTCTTCTGGAAGATTTCCTTACACTCATTTATTTTTCCTCCTGACATTCTTTGTACTTATTTTTTCTCTTAGAAAACGTTTGGAGCAGCAGCAAAAGATGTTGGAAGAGGACAGAAAAAGAAGGCAGTTTGAAGAGCAGAAACAAAAGCTGAGGCTGCTGAGCAGCGTCAAACCCAAGGTGCTGGTCTCCTCACGTCGTGGTGATTTTAACAGTATTTCAGCCCCAGGTTGTGTCTGTAACTCTCTGCTGGGCTGTATTCAGACAGGGGAGAAGAGTCGTGATGACGCTTTGGAAGCGATCAAAGGCAACTTGGATGGATTTAGCAGGGACGCTAAAATGCATCCGACTCCTTCATCACAGAGCAAGAAACCAGGTACCTACAGCCCGAGTCTCTTATGTTGTAATGCCTGCCAATTTACTCATTTTTCTTCATCGATCTAAAAAGAAAAGGCGGTTTGTTGGAAACAGATCTGCAAGATGACAGGGATGGGGCTGCTGCTAGAAGGAATTTCACTCTGAAATATGATGCAACAAAATGCATCATATTTTACACATTATTCACGTATTATTTTCCATTAGTCTTGTCAGTACCTTTGTAGTTTGTTGTAAATCCAAATACCAATTTTAGATCTCACTATCATCCTTCCTAATTAAATCCATACGCTTTTGCACATTCAGATCTGGTCAGATAGCTGTGTTATTTTGGGGCCTTAAGTGGCACCGTCACTACCCGATCCGTGCCGGAAGCACGATCCGTACCATCAGCTCATTGTATATCTGCGCAACCAGATATACATCCTGGTCTCAATAAATAATGTAATTATGATACTAAAATGACTTTTTTCTATCCTTAACTCAGTAAAGAATGCTAATAAACATCTTAAAAATAATGTTTTATGACTTTTCTGAGACAATTTTGATGCTTTTTAACATTTAGTAAATTAACTGCTTCTCTGACGTCATCATCAGACATGCTCAGAGCAGTCCTGCAAAGTATGATTAAACCATGTTTACCTGCATTTTAGTTGTTTTTTTCTTCAGGTTAAGCACTATTTACCATAATGTTAACAACGAAAGGAAAAGATCAAACTCAAAAAGACTAGATTTATGTTGAAATCCAAAGCCAAAAAAGTTAGCTCCCGGAAGTAACGTAGGATCCCATTTCCGATGCATATAAGGCACAGACGAGTGATAAAACACAAAGGATTTTCAGGCTTTTATTTTCTCAGGAAATACATTATTAACCTTTAACACATAATAGTTTAGTATGCTTATTATTTATGGGGAGAGAAAAAAATCTACTTTTTTACAAAAAAAGATCAAGGGTATATATCTGGTTGAACATGTGCGCATGAACTGATGGTACGGCCCGTGCTTTCAGGACGGATCAGCTAGTGACTTCACATTTTAACTCATATCCCAGAAGCTCATGGATGCCTACAAATTTCTCTCAATAAATTAAGTCATTGAGGTAAAACATACCAAAATGATTATTTTATCCTGGGAGAGGATTAACCCAGAAATAACCAGATCTATATTTATGTGCATTAAGCAGCATCTAAAAAGCCTTGTAGCTAAAATGATCTTGTTTTAAAAATATTTGATCCTCCCTCATTCCTTAATTCATTCTCCATCATTGTGTTTTTTTCTGCCATCTACATCATGTCTTCGTTTTTACAGACTCATCGCCATCACACCCGCCTGTCGCCACTCATTCCCTCCCCCCAGATTTCTCGGAGGATAATGACGAGTTTAGTGACTTTCAGGGGCCTTTAGACAACCCCTCCTCCTTCCCTCCGTCCTCCTCCTTCTCTTCCGCCTCCACCTTTGGCCTCTCCTCTCAGGTCCACACCCAGCCTTCATCCTCCACCGCTACAGGTTTTGCTGAGGATGACGATGAGGAGTTTAGTGACTTTGTTCAGGGACCTGTAAACTCTTTCCCCCCCACCAGTTTGCACTTCACCTCTCCAGCCAAGGTTCAGCCTACATTCTCTCCCTCACAACCCCTCCCTGCCTCTGTGTGCGTTCCCCCTGCCTCCCAACACTCTGCTGTCATCACCAGTTCACAATCTTCATTTCAAGGTAACTGTTCTTTGTCTTTGTTCACGCTCCCTATCCATCACCCTGTAATTCACACCCCCGGCCAAGTTCTGTTTATTTTGGTTTTGCTCAGATGCTTAGCGAGACAGTGCCTGGTAAAAACATTCACATCTATTAAACTTCTGCATGTTTTTTGTGTTAGAGCCACAAACTTGAATGTATTTTAATGGGATTTTATGTGATAGACCAACACGAAGCATTTTTTTAAAAGGAAGCTAAAAAGACTAACGTTTTCTTTCTATTTAAATAAAAAAAAAGTGACATATATATTTAGCCAGCTTTCTTTTTATCGCTTTAGATAAAGTCTTGTGCAATCAATTGCCTTTAAGTGTAATCAGGTTTGTGAGTAGACTCAATATTTCTCATTGATTTCACATACATTTCAGCTGTTTGAGGGGCCTTTCTAACTGGTCAGCACTGTATCATGGCTGCAGCATTCCTTTATTAGACATGTCCTCAGCCCCTTTTGTCCTGTATGTTCTAAATATGGCTCTGCACGGTCTGATCAAATGGTTGCATGACCACCTCAGCAGCGAATAAGGGTCCATCTGCAGGGAAACGCCAAACAATGTGCAGTTCAGTGGATCCTTAGCTACAGGATTGACAAGGATCTCTTATCTAGATGGTATTTTTTTATTAATCTGAAAATAGATATTCTTAGTAAGTTAACATAACTAAATAAACTAGTGTTTAAACATAAAACGAATAGGAACTTATTGCACATTGCATTTTAATAAGGTGCCTTTTAAAATGTTTTTTTAGAGAATTTAAATTAGGTGAAGCTAAAATTGCCACTTGAGGAGAATAACATACAGATAAAGAAGTGTTTTGATCTTACATACAAGTTTGTTTTTTTACTTTAGGTAGGTTGTTTTTTTCAGAAAATACTATTTTTTTTACTGGGGGAGTGGCAGCCTAGGGGTTAGGGCATTGCACTTGCGAGGTTCTGAGTTCAAGCCCCACTCCCACAGACGGACACTCTAGTTCTCTGAGCAATACCCTTAACCCCACACTGCTCCCCGGAAGCCACACAAATAAAGCCCATTGCTCCCTAAAGGCATGGGTTAAATGCAGAGGTATTTTTCTCCATTTTGAGATCAGTAAAGTTCAATTTCTTTCTTCTTCTTTGTTCTTATAGTCTATTTACTTCTATTAATTCTAAATTAGTCAGTGATAACTTCAATAATTCATTAATCTGATTAATGTTTCAACCCTTACATGTATGCATCTCTAGTCTTAAGGAAAGTAGTGGCAGTGTCATGATGTGGGTGCTCATTCTTGAGCTGGAAAAGCTGGAAGCTGATTCTTTTTTTTTTTTTTTACCTTGATTTTAAGTATTTCTTTCCATTTCATAATTATGCTCTGCTTAATGTTGGTCTAGAAGTTAAGATCCCAATAAAATACATTAAAGTATGTTTGTTATGCAATAACCTGTTTAAAGGTTCTGGAAGGAAGAAATGCATTTATAACAGGATGGCAAATTAAAGACTCAGTGGGAATATTTTCGTAATGGTTGCCTATTAGCTGTTAAATTATCTGTTCAAACTCTAGCTGAGAAAACTGTACTGCTGTTTATGGTTTGTAATTTATTTGCTGAGCAGAAGCAGCTCTTTATGTGATTGGCATGTGGCGACAGACGGCTCCCCTCCTGTTCAGGGAATTGAAACTGCCCACCCTCTGCCCTGTCAAACCTGATCTTTTAGCAATTTAGTAATTATTTAACAATTGTGTGAAGAATTATATCTACGGTCAGAAGACTTGACCCATAAATAAGTCCAGGTCTGTTTATTGATTTTGTGATAAATGTGGGATTTCCTTCATGACACAAAACGGATCCAGGCTGGTCAAAAAGGCTACTGAATTTACTTTAACATCTGCTAAATCTGAAGACATCTTTAGCTTTGCTGTCTCAGGATTTGCAGACATTACAGTTAATAACTGAAGTTTGCACAGTGCTAAAGTTGATGTTTCTGACTTGAATGTGAACAATGTTATGAATCATATAAGAGTATGAGCTCTGCTTATTATGTATGTAAATAAATGCAAGCTGAGTGAAGGAAATGCTGAGCTATTTTCTCTTAGGGCTAAAAAAATATATGCAGGGGAAACAAATGTATTTTTGATTAAAGATGTTTAACTGAGTTAGTAGTGATTAGGATATAGCTTTTTTTCGTTGAACTTAAAAAACAACAGAAGTTTAACAAAACTTCTAGCTCTTTTAGCATGTTTGGCCATTTCCCCGTTAAAGAGCAGCTGATTTTGGAAGTAATTAAAGGAGCTTGTTCCTCATTCACCTCTCCAGGCCCTTCGTTGGAAGAGAAGATGTTCTCCTCGTGTGATCTTACTGCTGATAAATCTGCCCACATTAACTTTAAATCAAAGCAAAGTTTGACTCAAATGACTCCAAGAGCTAAGGTTTCGGCCCAGTTCTCGCCCAGCCCTAAGGCCAGGAACTGGACTGCTGTCACAGAGGACTTGAGCTCAGTCTTCATCACAGAAAAAGTCCAAGAAGCCTCTGTTTCTTCCACCGACCACCAGCTTCCATCAGCTGCAAGCCCATCTCCTCAAAGCAGTTGTGACAGTGGTGAGAGAAGCGCCTGTTTACTGGACTTAAGCTGCTCCTTCTCTGCCTTGCTTAGCTGCAGCATTAATAAGTAACAACACATATCTTCATTTCAAATCTGGGATTTTCTATAACTCTTATTGGGGATACTTTGCAGCTCCTAAATCAAATCAAACCGGCTGATTCTCTTCATCACTGAGATGATCCAGGAGTGGTTTCCCCCCCTGCTGTCTGTAAATCCTCTCCTTCTTTTCTGCTCTTATCTCTACCTACTTTATGCTTTCACCTGAGGTTTTTTCCTCTGTCTGTGAAAATGGACTTTGTCTGTCAAGGTCCCTGAGTAATACCTGCTGAATAATAAACTGCCCGTCTCTTTAATACGCTTTTCCCTCACAGGCGACAACCTGTGGCGCATGCCTGATGCTTTGGTTCTAAGAGGGATGAGCTTGAATGGCAGATGCTAAAGGGGTACCCATGTAATCCAGGGCTGAATGTGCATGCTGCTTTGCTGCCTTTATTTGCTTCCATGTGTCCATGTCCTTCATGTCATCAGGGGAAACCTAGTGGCAGATCAGGGAGATTTGGCTTTAGCCCAGACTGATTTAACAGAGTAAATGTTTTACTGAAATGTTTTGTTAGTCTCTCCCTAGAAAAAAGAAACTGATCAATTTTAGTATTGAATGTAATTTTTCTTCCGTTTATTTGCACAGTAAGTCTGCTATCCTTGAAGATTGAAATGACTCAAAAACTGATTTATCATCTCTTGATGTAGCGAGACACTTGTGACTCATCTGCAGCGAGCCTTGCAGACGTCAAGTGTGTGATTATAGTGGAGTTTGGTACAGCGGGGCTCAGGTGTCAGGAATCTTGGGTGAAACGGTAGTCGTAAAGAATAACTGGCCATCTCCTGGTCTGTGTGTGTCTGCTTGTGACAGCAGGTGTTGCTGTGTACCCACAACAAGAGCACATCCAGTCCATTCTGCCTGCCTGGGTTTACAATGACAGCCTCGTCCCAGGTGAGCGTTTCCTCAAGGACGCCAATCACTGTTACATTTTTATGTTATTATTTTTAGCTTGTTGTAGACTGAATTATAATTAGTTTTCTATTCTTAATGAACAGAAATCTAAGTGTGAAACATATTTGTATTCAACCCTCCTTTACTTCAATGCCTTTAAGAAAAATTCAGTGGGCTCACTCCAGAAGTCCCCCTGTTTGTTAATACAACTGTTGTGTGACAGTGGTGAGGATAGTTGGTCAGCATTAGTGACCATCATTAAAGCCAAGGATCACCGCCAACAGACCAGAGATTTAGTAAAGTTTGAACAAAGGTTACACTATAAAATAATTCCCTTCGCATGTAGGATGTAATGAATCCAAAGATGGAAGAGTGAGGTTCATCTATACACCCACTAAGGCATGGATACCCACTTACACTGACATGCCGAGTAGGAAAGGCATTGATTATAGCAGCAGCTGAGATTCACTGGAAGAACTGCAGAGATCTGCAGCTTGATTGGGACAAAACCAAAGAAGGTTGTTGTTAGAAAGAAATTATAAGAAGTTTATGGGAAACAGACTCTGCAGATCACTTTGCGCCATCCCAACATTGAACACATGGTGGTGGCAGCATTGTTCTATGGGAAGGCTTTTTGGTAATCAGCTAGTAATTATTGTAGAGAAGATGGATGGAGCTCAATACAGGGGCTAGAAACTAGAGAGGAGTTTTACTTTCTAGCAGGACACAGGGTTTCTGCGTGTCATTAAAAATCATTAAAAGTCAATAAATTATAGTTTTTTAAATTAAGGCCTTAATTGGCATTAAAATTCATTAAATTTGATAATCGTGGCATTAAGAGGGCTTCAGAAAAGAAGCTTGAGGCAAAGAAAAGGCTAGAGAATGGGGAAAAATGCAAATTTGAACCAAAATGGCGGGAAAATGAGGAACTCGGGACATGGCTGCAGCCTGTCCACGGTGAAGATGACGAAGGATTTTGCTGTGTGTGTACTGTGTATGTATGTATATATCTATCTATATATATATATAGTCATGGGTACTTGTTGATGGCATTAAGATTATTTCTAAGAGCATTAAAAAGCATTAAATAAGAGTTACTCATTCATGTATAAACCCTGAGGACAAGCCTAAAAAGATAAATTAGCTTCATACTTACATTTTCTGTCCCTTTTTAAAGTACTAAAAAATTAATATAAAAACCAGACCAGTAGTTTGGACGAAGCTATATATCAGATCAGGATAATCTGATCAAAGGTCTGCTGATGTAATGGCAACGAGATCAGCTCTATAAAGTACTGACTCTTAAATAAAATATTATTTTCTGTAAAGGTTAAATGGTGGTCCATATCCAGTCGCCATGTTAAATTGTGAAAAGTTTCAATGAGTCTTACCCGTTTGTAATAATAGTTTGTTTCCTCTTCCATAGATATGTTTAAAAAGGTTTTTGAACTGACGATGACTCCGGCAGGAATAGACACAGCAAAGCTCTACCCAATAATGATGTCATCAGGCCTTCCCAGGGAAGCCCTCGGGCAAATTTGGGCATCGGCCAATCGCACAACTCCCGGCATGCTGACCAAGGAGGAGCTCTATACTGTACTTGCGCTTATTGGTGTGGCACAGGTAATAACTGTCGTTCCAGCACACGTCCCTTTTTAACCTCAGGAATAAATCTTCCACACATTCTTTTACAACTTCTGTAAAATGGGAAGAAAAGGGCAGCGTTTTCAATAAGCTCCAGGCTTGTGAAGCATTGTGAGCCAGATATCTAGCTCGGTCCCCATCAGATGAGTTTGGCAGGAGGCTTCTTATCATCCTCAGCCTGAGCCTGTCGCATCCCCCCCCCTGGGAGGAGGCAAATCTGCAGGCAGCTCACGAAGCGCTGCATGCCGCCGCTTCCATCCAAAGAATAATAAGACACCCCTGGTGATGTAAATCTTCCATGGCCCTAAAATACAAACCAAACAAGGTGCATTCTGTGGAGCGTGCCGCAGCAAATCTGTTTCAAAACTAAGTAGACTTTGTTGACTGTTTACTATGTGAATCACGTTTACAAGACGAGTACAATGGTGTACTACCAGAGTGATGCATGTCTCATAGATGCTCTTTTACAGCTGAAATGAACAAAAAAGTAAATGTATTTTCTTGATGATTTAGATTTTAAAGAATTTAGTACAAATTGATCTGCTTTATTTTTTAGACTGGCCTCCCAGTATTGAATGTGGAAATCCTCAGTCAGTTTCCGTCTCCACCTGTGCCCAACCTGCCCGCCCTGGCTATGGCCATGGCCCGGGTCATCCCCCAGCATCAGCAGCCCATGATGACTCAGCCGCCGGTCTCCATGTCCATGGCCACACCAGCAGCACCGGTCATGGCTATGGCGCCCTCTGCACCTGCTCAGCCGCCCACAAACCCAAATTTCATTGCCACTTTCCCACCAGCCCCAGCAGCACAGGTACAGTAGCTCATGAAAGTGTTCAATCTTCTTCAAATATAATTGTTATATGTTAGAGGTAAACAAAGATATCTGAAATTACATGGAAGGAGAATTTAGTCTTATTGTTTTGCTGTTATACTATAAAAGCCCTGTAATAGTCTCCATAATCCAAATTATCTATAAAGGCTTCAGAGGTTTGTGCTGAGAGGAGGTTTTTGGTAACTGTGGAGGAGCTGCAGGACAGACGAGGGAATCTGTTAATGGCCATGAGTGGAGGAGAGTGGCAAATAGTTATTTCTGAATGAATGTTTGTTTAGATGAGATCAGAACATATTAGTCTGTAAAAGTGGCCCAGTCAAAGTCCAGACCAAAGCCTTATTGAAAAATGATGGCAAGTCAAAATGAATCTTCACAAATATATAAGTCCGCATCTAACTGAGCTATTTTCTTACAAATGCAGAACAAACTTCTCTGCTTTTAATTTATAAACACAAACCATGTCTAAATCACCTTCTATTTAATAACTATGTGCTTCTTCGTACTGGTTTGTCATTAACTCCCAGTCAAATACCCAGAAGTTGTTTTGCAAGTCCCTGTTATTTCTACTAGGCTTTAACAATTATGAAAACGTTTCATGTAGGGGACAAAAGCAGAGGATGATGAATTCCAGGACTTCCAAGAGGCTCCGAAGGTCGGAGCAGGTGACCAGGCCTTCACTGATTTCCAGGGTGAGTCAGGAGGAAGTTTTCCCACCGCTGCTGCACATCAACATCAAAACAGGTGAGATCATAACTCTAATAGTGCGAAAATTTGAAGTCTCGTGAGTGGAACCTTGTCGAATCCGACCCTCTCTCGTATCCCCTTTCCTCTCAGGCTACTGTCGAAAAAACAAGCCAGTAGTGCTGTAAAAAACCCCCCAAAAAAACAACAGTTTTTAAAACGTAAATGTTCATTATGAAGTTTAACCCTATATAATACTAATACTGCATACTTTGTTCTCCTTTTCTGCTTCCAAACTATCGTCTTCTGAAGGAGAGCTGTGATTATATGCAGAGACAAGTGTCAGATATTCAGCCCCTGATGGTTATTTATAGCCAAGTTATTTTGCATAATAATTGCATCTCTCATTGTCTGTCTTACACCGTCATAATGTCTTGTAATAACCTACTCAGAATAGCAATGAGCTGGGGTTATGTCTTAATGAATTAATTTCAGTGGACAGTAGACGCTCATTTCTCTCCATTACTTTATATGCCCCTTTCAACAGACCGCTCCTTCAGGGAGACGGATCTGCAAGACAATTATCTACAAAGAGATAAAAAGAGTCCAAGAAAAGATTGTTGTTCAAAGAAAAAGTTATTTTAGTGTTCTAGAGTCCAACCTGTTGCTATAGTTACTTGTCAGAGGTGCTGCAGAAAGCAAGAACATGGTTATTCTTTCCAAGTTGGATTATTTACATCCTGAATATCTTCATTTACTGATATTTTGAGGAAACATTTACTGTTTGGGAATTTTGAGATTATGCTGTTTTGTTCTGCTGAGGTTTAAATATAGGAAATCTAAGCGGCATCCATTTAGAAAAGAATAAGTTAGAAGAATTTAGATTCTTTTGCACAGTTTATCAGGTCGCAATCAATATGTGAAAATTGCAGTTGTAAAGAACTGCTTGGAGGTGATTTTTGGTAGGAATATATCTTTTAGTTGCCTTTTGGTTAAACTATTAATTAGGGCTGCATGAGAGGTAAATGTTGGGGCCATGATATTAATTGATAAAACCATGAACATATCAGTTATCATTTATCCCTATTTTCTTCTCCTCTTTCTCATCTGTGTTCCCTAAACTCTGTGCGATTTGTGTTCAGTGTGAACATCTGCTCCCAAGAGACTCACTGCATCGTGTTAAATATCACATCGGCATTCGATATGCAAGTTCATAACTTTTGAAATGTATTAGCCAACCATTATAGCTCTCAAAGCAGTTTTTAAAGATGTGAAAGATGTGCAGACTGATTTGGAGGTGACGGAATATTCGTCTCGCTGTCAGATCACAGCCTTGGGTGAAAGATGTTTTTCTTTTGCAGCCTTATTATTTTTACTAAGCTTGACTCTTTAAACATCCCAGAACATACTTATTGTTGTGTTGCTGCCTGGTTTTAAAACTTTATGTTGTCTTTTTTTTCTGAAGCACACCTGCCATGTTGACTCCAGTGTCTGGTTCGTCCTCCTCCTCTGTCACTTCCTCTGATAAGTACGCCGTGTTCAAGCAGCTATCTGTGGATCCGCCTGCAGAGCCCACCCCCCCTATCTCAGGTACCACCTGCATCTCATGTTGGTTTAATATCTATAGCACAGTCAGCCTTGACGTTACCTTTAAAGCAGCACTATAGGTCATTTTCATATTAACCGATGTAAACTAGAGTACTGCAGTGTTTTTGCTGCAGATTGCCACTATAAGATCAGTCAGTTAAATGTAAACCTTCCCCTTTTAAAAAAAATATAATTTATATTCACTCATAAAGAGATTCATTTTCTTCATTTTTTATGCAAAAAATTGGTCACTCTAAAAGGTTAGCATATGTGGTTGATCCTTTCCTCTTTTGAGGTTTTCTTTGCTTTTATTTATTTATTTTCTTAAGTTTTTTGCTGGCTCTGTTATGTCATTAGCCTCTAAAAACTGTTCTATAATACCTGGTGGGTAGCACAGCAAGAGGCCTATGGCTACTGATGCTAATGGCCTAACATTGGGCTGCCATAAGTCATACTGCGGGAATGAGAACTGGAGTCACCAGACGGCCACTGGGTCAGTGACAGGGGAGACTCAGTTGTCTCCTGAACATTCATATTGCCATCACAGAGACTAAGAAGAGGATATGTTAAGGTAGAAATGTTACTTAGTTCTGCTTTAAAGGTCTACCACTCTCTTGCTGCCTTAAAGAACCATAGATATCTCTCAACATGTCATAGGAGATACTTTGTCTGAATTCTAAACACCAATGCCTATCGTTGGGTATTCTTCCTTGAGTCATCAGTATGACCTTGTAGAGCTTTCAGTCACCAACTGGTTGCTTATTGCATCTTTACTCATTTATCCTTTTTTTTCTGTTTCATTGTTCAGATGCCGGGGACAAGTACAGCGTATTCAGACAACTAGAGCCGCCTTCTGAAAAGAAAACAGTCGGTAAGAAGCTCAGCTTCACTTTAATGCAAGTTAACTTTTAGTTATTTTATATCTTCTTTAGAAAATAAAGTATTTGTATGAACTGATGAAGGGTGTTTGCTTAGGGTCAGATTCTCTATTATTGAACATTTAGTTGTAACCTGAGGAAAGATTTCATACTGCCATGACGCCATTATTCTGTTTGCATTGTTCCGTTTTGACCCGAGTGTGTTTCCTGCCCGTTTTTTCATTAGAACAGTTTCTGATGGGGGCTGCTCTTACATCTCCAGTAAGTCATGCTCTGCTGTGACCTTTCTTTGGCATTGTCAGACTCGGTCGTCTCTAATGAGCCCATTAGTTTTCTCTCTTCCACCAGTGTGAGCTGATTCTGTGTTTCAGTCCGTGCATATATATTACTCCGCCTTACGTCAGGAGATGCTGAAACTGGATATGTTCTCAGTTTTTATTTGTGCTTTAAATCAGCATCTTATTGTGATCTTTTCTTCCAACATTTAACATATTTTCATAGCTTTCATCGGTTTTTGTCAAAACAGAAATGCTCCTCTCGACTTGTTTTCACTTCATCTGAAAAAGAAATAAATACGATATTTTTTGCAGTTTGATTTTCCTCTTGGCATGATTGTGTTTTTGTAGGTTTTTTCTAGTGTTAGTCAGAGGTTTACATCCACCCATAACTGTAATGAAAGCTGCATTTGGCTTTTTGTAAGATGCTGAAATGGTAACATATGCATGTTAAAAACACCAATTAAGTGAATACATTTTTTTTTTATTGTGCTTTTGTTTTCTATTTATAAACAGTTTTACTTACAGGGTTGAATAAGAACACACTCCTCTACTTAGTCTTTGTTAAATCAGAAACTGTGCACTCTTGGTCTGATATTCAAAGTTTCTAAATAAAGAACTCTTTGTGCAAAAATAAAAAAGGTATCATTGAATTTTAACTTAGTGGGAGTGTTACTGTTGACCTCCACCAGATGGATTTGCTCGGCATATCCATCTGGAAACCTTCCGTTGAAGTAATTTTGGGAAAGGGCGAAAATACTGGTTAGCTGATTGGCCTATGTTGGCGATAGACGAGCCAAATAAACCAATCAGATCAACGAAGCATATGGCGTACTAACAGAGCGACGATAAAGAGGAGCCAATTGATAGATCAAACTCTTGCCGAAACCAGTTGGGAGAAGAGCAAAAACATCTTTTCCTCTGAGAAAAGCCTCCAGAGCAGAGTTTTGCTCTTCTTTCAGTGAAGAAATACTCTGTAATTCCAATAAAACTTGCTCGATAGCCACGCTAACGCTAGTTTCATCGGCTGAAGCCACCATGTTTTTTAGACTGAACTGTCGCGCTTCTCGTTGCGTCACACCTCAACCCGCCTCAAAGCCAACGCTGATTGGACGTTCGTTTGGTGAACGGCTCCAAATTTTCTTTAACGGAGAGTCTCCAGACTGATCTGCGAGTAAAACCTTGAAAGCTCGCAAGATCAGGATGGTCTGACGAGGCTAGTGTTGTTTTACAAATTCATTAGAATAGTATGTTGTACAGCATTAAAGCTGGTTTTGATTCCATTAAAAGGCAAAGGTTAATGGCATACGTGCTCTTTACATACACGAGTGAATGTAAACATCTGGCTGGGATGAAGTATCTTAGCTGTTTGCAGTGATGTGTGCTGTTTTCTGGACATACTTTCCCACAGCTAATCAAAGAGCAAGTTGATAATTTTCAGAGTACTGGAGGCAAACTGTAACTAATCTACTGGCTTCCTCTCTTAAAGGATTTTAAATTGAATTGTTGGCTGTTGCAGAAAAGATAATTCCTTTGTCTCTCTGCCATGTCTATTACTGATCCTCTGTCCTTTCTGTTTTCCAGCAGAAGGATTTGCAGATTTCAAGTCTGTCGGTTCAGATGATGGCTTCACAGACTTTAAAACCGCCGACAGCGTCTCTCCACTAGAGCCGCCCGATCAGACGAAGATCTTTCAGCCTGCCTTCCCCTCTGCTTTTCCAAACTCTCAGACTTTACAGCAACTTCCGCAGCAGCAACAACCAGGAGCGTCTCTTTCCCAGCCCAAAAATCCTCTCAACATGGCCGACCTGGACCTGTTTTCCTCTGTGGCTCCTTCCGCTCCTACCTCCTCTGACAAAAAACTTAGCACATTCCCACCTGCACCTGTCGCTCCGTCATTAAGCCTCCTTCCTGGGGGAGCCAAACCCTCCGGCGGAGGTGCCGACGATTTTGGTGACTTTGCTCTCTTTGGTACCTCCTCTGACCCGGCTCAAACTTCAGGAGGGGCAGCAGCAGCTCCTCAGGATGACTTTGCAGATTTCATGGCTTTCGGAAGCTCTGGCGGAGAGCCGAAAGGTGAGAGCGGCACAGTGGTCCGAGGGGACTCCTCCGCAAAGCAACCTCAGCAGAGTTCAGACAAGTATGACGTGTTCAAGCAGCTGTCGCTGGAAGGAGGCCTCTCTTACGACGACACCAAGGAGAGCGGCGGTGGATCCTTCTCCTCACTCAAGAGCGACACAGACGACTTTGCCGACTTTCAGTCATCAAAGTTCTGCACCGCCCTCGGCGCCTCCGAGAAAACTCTGGTGGACAAGGTGGCCGCTTTCAAACATGGTAAGGAGGACTCTGCGTCCGTCAAGTCCCTCGACCTACCGTCCATCGGCGGGAGCAGCGTGGGGAAGGACGACTCAGAGGACGCGCTCTCAGTGCAGCTGGACATGAAGCTGTCGGACATAGGCGGAGACCTGAAGCACGTGATGTCAGACAGCTCCCTGGATTTGCCGGGCCTCTCTGCCCACCAGCCCCCCGCCACAGGTGAGGAACTAGTGCGTTTACTCTGGTGAGGCTACGCCCAGTGGCACACAGTATTACTGCTGAGCCCTACCAGTATCTTCACCTCACTGGAGCCTCCTAAAATCACCAAACAAAGAGGGATCAAACAGCAAGTAAATGAGGTCTTTGCTGATTTGAATATGCTCAAATAGACCTAAAACATATCAGATTAGATTCATCATTCCATTTCACATTTCATCCTCCACCTCTTATTTATTTAAGTTATTTATCTATATGTCTTTTTTTGTCCACCTTCCCTCTCCTTTGCCCTGTATATGCTGTTATATGCTCCTGACCCCACACCTTTCTGATTTTACACTGACGAGTGCCTGGTTTTGATGCGTTAGCAGTCACAGCTCGTAGACGAGGTCTCCGGCCACAGTCTGGCCAACTCCGATAAGCTTTCTGTTGTGTCCGTTATATGCCATTCGTCCATTGCTGCCATTTCGGACGGCTGTAACAGGCGGCTCAGCTGAATACAGATGAGTACAGGAGGGTGATGATCTTCTAAATTATTCAACTCACAGCTTTTTAAACAATAGACTGCAACATTTCCAAAAGCATTACCTGAAGGGTATCGTTTTAGCTGCCGAGCGCTGAAGGCATAAAACAAAACATAGTTTGGATTATGTGAAAATGAAAGCACCTACTTTAATAGGAGATTTTGTATGCAGCAATGGGGAGAATGGGGCAATATAAACTTCAGCTCCGAGTGCTTGAATGTGAGTGCATGCGGTTCTCTATTTGTTCTATTAAACATTGTACTAATCTGCAGTATTTTCAGTTTCTCTGAGGTGGTTCAGGCCCTACCTCATGACAAGACAACTAAAGTGGAGTTAGAAAATACCCAATGCTTGTTGTTAGGGGTTTGTGTAATCAAAGGAAATTAGCCCAGTTTCCTTGATATTCAGGTAGTCTACAGGTTCTTCATCTTCACCAAAGCTTATTATTTATTCATCGAGCATCTCACTTCCTCATCACGGCTAATGTTTCATCGCATCTCAGCCCGTTCAGCTGGGTAATACGAGATTTGTAGTAATTGAGGTTAGATTAATTTTTAACAACACACTGTTTTTGACCAGTTTTATAATGCTCAGTTTTTATCTGATAACATTCATGCAGTCAGCAGGCACTTCATAGTGTCTTCTAAATTCATTTTACCTGTAAAAAAACCACAAACTTCAAAGTTTTTTGAAGGTCTTTGACCAACAAAAAGAAGTCATATAATAACAGTGAAGTGGAAGGAATAAGTACAGTTTTCCCTTTTAACTATAAAACAATGCAGTAAATGTTTTCTGTGGGTATATAGATAGTATATTAGAATCAATACTTTGTAGAAATGCATTTTGTTGCAGATCCAGCTGCAAGACTTTTAGTTTTTGTCTAAGATTTTCCATCTTAATCTCTTACTTTGACCATTTATCTTTGCAAAATAGCTCGACTTCAGTCATTCTGGATAAACAGTGTATGTGAATATCAGCATTAAAGAAGTTTAACAGATTCTCTGTTAGGTTTAGATGTTCACTTTGAATAGAGCTTTCTAACACACTAATATACTTTGATCTAAACCATAAATCTGTAGATCTGGATGTTTTTTTTCCCGCTGGAAGGTTATTCTGTCCGGTCTTTTACCAGCTTTCTCCTGATCTGCTTTTTTGTTTACCTGTTATCTTTCCAAAAACTGTGCCTGCATTGAGTTTCATTCAGGTCTAAAGAAAACTATCCCCACAGCATTACGCCCCCAGCGTAATGCTGTGTTTTATATGCTGTCTGCATTAGTAGTTTCTGTGCCTGTTCTGTTTTACTCCAACTTTTTTCCATTTTTTTTCTTAAAAAAATTCAAATAGGAGTTCTTGAAGGTTTCCTTTAGACACTCTTCTATCCAAATCATGCTTTTCCTTCCACTTCTTAATTATCTGCTACTCTATGCTAGAAAATCCCCGTAAGGCTTCTGGAGTTTGTGGTTTTTATGTGACGAAAAGATGAACAGTTCTGGGGTTATCGACTGGGATGAAATGTGTATCTGCTTAGAAAATGATTTCCTCCAGAATCTGTTTCTTCTGAGGAAAAAACAGCAAAGTAAACTTCATCACAGCTCCAATTGGTCTGTTGATCGGAAGGAGCTCAAATGTTGCTAAAACTGCTTCATAGACCGATATATTCCTAACTAACTTTAGTCTTCTGTTCATTCACTTTCATTTCTCTGCTGTTCTTGGAGAGCTTTGGGACTAATCTGTTGTTAAATGTAGCAGGTCAAGCAGCTTGAGCCCCTCTCTATAAGCTTTGCACTGTGTTTTAGGAACTGTTTGTATTCTTAAAGAGACAGTATTTTTTTTTTTTGCGAGTCCCTAAAGGACGTAGACCCTCATCTTGTTATTTATGTTCCTTTTTGTTTTACTTTAATGATCGCCGCATGAACTTGTCACCTGTGGCTCTGCGGTCTGGCTCTCTGAGAATATAATGAAGTAAACATTACCCTTCCTGCCTTGCTTTTTTGCTGCAGTGTGCCTGCTTTTTTCAATTTGTGAAATTGACAAGAAAAGACGATGTGCATTTTATGCATAAAGTATTGCAAGCTGTTTTTATCCAAGAAGAAATGTATACATACAGATTTAGTAGTGTATTTTTATTACAGGAATACGAACCTTCCTATTTTGAAGCTAGAGAGACTCCTTGGTCCTGCTGTGATGCAAACTCTTAATGTTAAATGTATCCTGATGTATTTAGTTATGAATTGTAGTGTTTTCAAACCCCTCTGTTGGGTTATATCCGACAAACAATCACTGTAGCAAGAGAAAAAGGATACTGTCTCTTTAAATCTGTCTGATTGGATGTAATTGAGGCCCTCTCTTGGATGTCAGGTGGAAGATGGCCCTCTTTGTTTTCTGTAACCCTTTGAGTGCTTTAACTTCCTCATCTTTCCAACCTGGTGAAGGCAGATGTTCTAACCTTACTTCTCCTCTGCCTGTTTTGATATCTTGGCCCAAATCTGACCAAATAAAGTAAAGAAAATGGCAGCTTTTCTTTCTGCTCCCTCCTCAAACCAGTTTAATTGGACTCCTCTGCCAGTGTTTGCTTCCTATCAGCTCCTCAAAGGGTTATTGCCTCCTGCCTTGTTCTTTGGCTTCTCTTCTCAACCAGGCTTTCCAAATGTTCTGTATTCAAATCCTTTTTCCAAAATCACTTGTTGCTTAATTACTTAATAGTTGAACAAAGTTTGTCAATTCCTTAAAACCTGCTGATTCTAGTCTGTAAATGTGCCTTCTCTTTCTGGTTTCTGCATCTTTATCCTCGGAATTTTGTTTTGTCCGTTTGACCTTCTTGTTGTTTCTTTTCTGCCTCTTCTCCTGACTCTGCATGCTCCTGTAATCTAAAATGACTGAAATATATTCAGCAACTTTACAAGTGTTAGTTTGACAAACCTCTTGTAACGATAGACTTCTTTCACACAAGTACTTTGTGATCTTTTCTCTCTTTCTCTCTACTGATGTTGTCGTAATAAACTTTACTGTTGGTATTGCTCAAACGCGTACCGTCTTATTTCCCCCTCCTTTTTTTTCTTCTTTGAGATGCTTTGCTTGGTGTAATTAAAAATAATAGGTAGGTCCTTGTCAATTTCACAAATTGCTTGGTACATTTCTGGCCCTGTTATGCAAAAATAGGATGGGTTCAAGAAGGTGGGATTGCATTTGTGCAGATGAAAGGAACAAATGTTGACAGATGTCTGCAAGCTGTGCTGCAGTGTGTTAATATTAGCTTTACAGAAATGGGAGATGCAGAGATGTTTTGATTGAATGAAATACAAATCCTTCACAGCTCATGGTAAACATAACAAAATGAGAAAGTGTGTATTAGTAGTCACTGTTATTCCAAGTGAAATTACTTTGTTGATTTAGCAAAAAAAAAACAAGAAATTCACACCAGATGTTGGTAATAAGATCAGCTTTGTACAAACGCAGAGGAATAACAATGGTTAAACCAGGTGATTTGTGAACAGGTTAAAAGTAAGTACCGTAATATTCGGACTATAAGCCGCAAATTTTTCGACGTTGTGGCTTATATAACAATGCGGCTTATCTATGGACTTTTACAGCTAACGGCCACTAGGGTAATACCTAAATCTATGGATTTTACCATCCACCATGTTGACGTCACATTTGCTTCAACACACAAGTACGTTAGCCGCTCACGCGGGAATGCGGAGGTCCTCCGGAAGCAGACTTCTACGGCGAGTGGTACGATACAGAACAACAGCGAGAAAGACGGACATTGCGAGCGCAAGACAGTTTGTGTGACACTCTCATTATGGAAAACAAACGTACCGGTTAATAAATGGGAGCTTCTATTGCTCTAAATTGTAACAGTTAACGTATGCAAATATGCTAATTGTGTTGAAATGTTAATAAATAGGAGCTTCCCCAAACAGTTGCCTCTTTCCCGACAATCCTCTCTGTGCACGAACCATATGGTAATTAAACATAAAAAACCTGCGGCTTATAGTCCGGTGCGGCTTATAGTCCAAATTTTACGGTATTGAATATAACTCACACCTGTCAGCATTTTTAGAAACCTGCCTGTCTTCTGTTAGTGCCTGTTGATATCTGCTGCTCTAGTCTCAACTAAAGGCTTGATAAAAAGATTTTCAGTTCCATATATTATGGTAAAAGCCTCCTATTTTGGGTGAAAGGAAATGGCTAACTCAAGACCTTCAAAGAGCTTTTTATTAGACATGTTTTATAACATCTCGATGCTCTAGTGAGAACCGTTAGATTTGTAATCAGTAAGTAGGTAGAACACCGTCTACACCATAAACCGCCATGAAAGCTTCCTTCTCGCTGTCTCAAATGGTATTCAAAATAATAAATGTTTTCTTGGATTCAAGAACTGCTTACAGAGAGCTTTTAAAAGTCTTTTAAATTATTTTATTGCAAAACAATCGGTAACAGACTCCACTGATATTGTCCCTGTGCCTCTTAAAAGCACAAGCCTCCACTGAGCATGCTGAAGTTCACCTAATGTTTTGACAGTAGTCGAAATTGTGAGAAAATAGTTTAAGATGAGACCAGATTTGAATGAGACACACAGAATGTTTAAGATAGATTTTGGACTTTTTCAAGAAGAATTACTTTTTTTTTTTCAGCAAGGCAATGGAAGGAGCCAGTCAGCCAGTCACACAGCCTAAATCCCAGTATGCAGAACTTTATTTTGGGCCTCCCTCAGATCCTTTTAGATCAGAAAAGATTTTGTATTTGTAAATGTCTTCATTTGAAGTGTAATAGTGGGGGATCTCAACTCCTGCAGCTATACATTTCTTGGGATACTTCAGTGACCCGTCACCAACTATAATAAATGTTGTTTCAAGGCTGAAAGTTTTAAAGTGTGCTATGGGAAGATTACTTGCTTGCCATATTTTCTGGCAATCCAGGTAGCAATTCCTAAAAAGAAATAGATTCATGTTTTGTTAGGAAAATAAAATGATAATCTATTCTTTAAATACAATAACAATTAATAATGCATGGTTTCCCTTGCATATAGATATAATGTGACCTATAGGCTTGGTTCTGTTTGCTTCTGGCTCATACACCACACACACTCAGCACTCCAGGAAGAAGCTTGCTGTGAGAAATTGCAGGAAACTCTTGTATCTTGGGGTCAGCAGGTCTCCATGACAACCATTAGATGCTATCTACATGGCAACTGGTTGTTCAAGTGTGATGCCAGAAATAGAAGAGTTTGCTGAGCACTACCGGGATTTTAACTAAAACTCTATTCTTTATGCTGCTGAGACTAAAGCTTTGAACCAAAAAGATCTGAATACAGACAAATAAATGAAAAGGCCTCCTCATGCTCTTGTCTTTCTCAATGTCCGTGGGAAGCTTGTAAGAATGCATTGAAATTGTTATGTCTTTAAAATACCGGAATATCTACAAAGGGATTTGCTGCCTGGATTTCGGCTGGAAAGCTTTTTTATTTTTTTTTCAATCTAGGTCTTTTTTTTTTTTTCCCTAAATAAATGGATTTTAATTGCAGCTTTGCTTTTCACCCCAAAGCCCAAAAAGATTAGATTGCTGCAATAAATGTTATTATTATTACTTTTTTAAAGGTTTTCATACATCTTTGCCAGGGGTGGCAAACGTTGCCCGTACCGTGATGATTCAGCTCCGGCATTAAAATTATTAAAATAAAAAAATTTATTAGGAATAGTTCTCCACTGTGTGGGAGGGAGAAAATGAAGTGTTTTCAAATTCTGCATTATTGCTATTCCTTATTGAGACCTAAAAATATTTTAAGATTTTATTGTTACTTTAAAGCTATAAAAAGAGGTTAAAGTGGAATCTGTGGACAGAGACTTGAACAGTTTGTCCTTACTTTGATTTTCTACATAAAATTAGATCTAACAGCTGGAAATAAAAAGAAGAGGGGTCTAAAGGAGGTTCTGTACAGAACATATCGATACCAAAATGTTGATGAAGAAATTTCTCTGAATTGCTTAATTGCCATTATTATGTGGATTTAATTCTGAAAAAAAAAAACATGCAAAATTTTACTTTCATTATGTAGAACTAAATCAAAATAGAAAAGGAATGGGGTCAAAGAGGAAATTAAGCACTGGCCATTGGTAGGTTTTCCCATCTCTATAATGGACTGCACTGGCAATTTGCTGCTCTGAAGCATTTAGATGCAAGTCAACACTATGCCAGGAAGAGAAGACATCGGAAATAACCTTAGAGAAACAACTGTTGCTGCTTAACTGTTTAAGGAATGGTCATTTCAAGATGCTAAATCTTGAATGAAAATCTTGAATCCTCACTTGGCATATTAAATGATAAAGTTCATTCAGTTTGAAAATGACTGGATATATGCTTATTAGGAATATTTGACATGCTGCTCTCCTCTCAGATAATATTTCACTGGTGATGTAGGATGTTCCCTAAATTCAGCAATTGTTGAACACGGTGGTGGCAGGGTGATGATTTGGGCTTATTTTTGCCACAGCAGACCTTGGTACCCTACAGTCTCAGAAGCAGTTTAAACAAAACTTGGTAAGAATGAGCCAATTTCTGTTTTCTTACAGAAAAAACGTAGTCTTGAAAGAAAGGGCGCACTTTCTTTCCACGATGCACAATATTCGTAAATTAGTAAAACAAACCCATAGGAAACATAAAAGAGAAATCATAAATCTAATTTTAGCAGCTGCTTACAGTAAATGTTTTATATAACATGCCGCTCTTTGTGGTGCCTGGTCTGATCTTTAAAGCAGGGAAATAATGGTGGAAGGAGTGAAAACTGGGTTTAATCTGAGGCACTGGGAAAACACTAGTGGAATAATTATGTTTCCCTATTTAAACATCACAAAAAGACACATTATTACTAAATAAAAAAATACACAAAGATTAATTGTATAGTGGTATATGTTCACAATTTTGGAAATGAAGTTGGCACTTTTGAGCTGGAAAGCTTGTATATTTGTCAATCTTGAGTGTCATGAGAAGAAAATGGTAGAAGGAGCTAAACTAAATCAGATCATCTGAAAGAAATGCATAGAGAAGTGCTCTGGGAATCTTATCTTATGATTGGGATTCTTATCTGCTAAGATCAGAGAGGGCCTCTGTTAAGACTCCTTTGAGTCTTAAGCTTTCTCAAAGGGAAGTGGAACCAGGATGTGACACTCAGACTTTTACGTCCATTACACATTTTAGCTTCTTTATTAATTATTTGACCCATACTTTATTAAGGTGCAATGATTATATGGTTATCAGCTTAATTGATACAAGAAAACAAAAAGATGCTTTTACTGATAAATTAATTTCTCATTAATTCAAACTCTCATGCCTCTATATACAACAACTTCCAGTAATACTTTGAATAATGTCCTTCAATTTGCAGAGCAGCTTGAAGGACTTATCCAAACATCTGGATTTTCTTTCTCATTTTGTCTACTGGTTGAAGCGTACCTATGATGAAAATTATAGACCTCATTTTCAAATAGGGACATTTTCTGTATCATTGGCAGACTAAATACTTTTTTGCACCATTGTATGTACTTGTTAGTCATTATGAATGATAGTCAAATATTTGCCACAATTATGGCAAAAGCTTCAGTTTTCTAAAGGACTTTCAGCCAGTTATTACTGACCATGTCATTATTTACATAACTATTTCATTACATTTAAACCTGAGCAGTGTATCTTTACGTCTCAGGTGTTTGGGCATCAATCAAAGATAGTAATTAATGATTTGAAGGATCAACATATATAAAATTCTTGAATTAGACTTATTTAACATGTGCCATGAAATTGTGTTCCCCTGTACCACCTATTATGTCTTTTTGCCATTACAGACAGAGACAACGGGAAATTTGACCCATTTGGGACATCTGCCCTCAGCACTTTGTCCAGCTACGACTGGTCTGATCGAGATGAAGGTCTGTTCAGTGAGCTGAGAAAGCCCCAGGGCATGGAAGGGGCTTCTCTATCATCTTTAGCATTGTCACAAAAGAATGAACTCAGCTTCGGCAGCACTGACACCATCCCTGGCAGCAGCGCTCTAGGAAAAATCACCACTTCTTCAACTGTAGAGAATGGATCCTCAGGAGGCGACAAGTTCGAGGCCTTCGCCAACTTCGGCTCTGGTGTCCAGACTGCTGACAACGAAGATGATGACTTTGGAGACTTTGCCAGTACAGTTTCTGAAAAATCGGACTCACCCGCTGTCACTGCTGAGGCCAACTCAGAGGGAAACCAAAGCGAGACCTCTGAAGAATTTGGCATCTTTCAAGGCGACAAGCCGAAATTTGGCAAGTTTGACTTCTTAAAAGCCAGCACTCAAGCCAACGTGAAATCCAGTGAGGAGATGATCAAGAATGAGCTCGCAACCTTTGACTTATCTGTCCAAGGTGAGTCTGCTATGAATTCTGGAGGATTGAAACAAATGAAATATGATGTTAAGATTTCAATCCGTTAAGCAGCTAAATGTGATCTCGAACCTTCCCGTTCCTCCACCATGGTACACTGCTCTACCTGCCCCAACTCTCCCCACATGATCTGTAATGGAGCCATTAGACATTAGATGGTAGTGTTGCCATGACAGTCCTGCTCTAATGGCACCGACTGCTGAGATGGATTATCAGAGGCCAAAAAATCCATGAGCTGAAATTAACCGGAACCACTTTAAGGTTGTTCATTTCTTTAACTGCTGTTTGCCAGTGTTATGTCCCACAAATAATTAATTACACTTTTCAGCACTGAGATAAAAGCCCCCACAGATTCCTGTGTCTGGGCTGGATTTAATTTGTCTGAAGCAGAAGGGCCTTGCTAATGTCCCTTCACCCCGTGAAGCGATAATCTGATTACAGTGTGGCTTTGTGCCGGGATGAGTGGCTGTGAGGTAGATGAGACAGCCCTCTGTGGAGGAAGAAGGTGTGGATTACCAGACTCTGAATGATCAACAAAGCCAGACCAGCTTCAGCTCCCATCAGAATAGCCTGGACGTGTCTGTGCCTGTGTTCCCTGTTGTATATTGACAGGATTAGTTTTTCAGTAACTTTTATTTCCCATTTGCATTTTTATGGCTTTGCTTTTGTGTCTAATTATTATTTGTCAAAAAAATTAGCCGTTTTCTAACACCGTAACAGTCCTTAGGGAGTTTGTTCACACACAGAAAAACATAGAGAGCTAATACAAGCAACATAACTATAACTGGTTCAATGTGCGAAGCTCTGGAAAATATTCCTGCATAATAGAGCTTTACTCTTTATTACAGCTACAAATATCCGTGTACATTAATTGGATTTACATGATAAACCAGTCCATAATCTTGCTAAATAGCATAATGGATAGAGTAACAAAAAGTTTTCCTACGTTTTCCCTAAAATGGTTGAGGCACAAAAGCATTTGGCCACATTTACTAAGTAAATATGTCTGTATCCCAGATTTCTATCAGCAGTGCCGTAATTACCAGTAGAGTCCACGCCTTTCCCTTTATCACAGAGGCAGCAGTTTCAGCACAGACATCCAAACCACCTAAGTGGACTCCCCTTGATGTGAAGGAGCAGTGGCTCTTCGCCATAGCCTCTGTCAAATACAATCAGCTGAAATGAGCTTCCTCCACAGTGTGACCTGGCTCGTAAACTGAAGCAACATGTGTTTGCAGATTTCAGCCTGGTGTTTCCATTTGGAGGTCAAAAATAGATACTGTAAATTGTACATATTGTCCCTTGAAAAAACGTATTTATTGCTTTTTTATTTACTTATAACGAGCCTTTTGGCCTAGTGGGTTAGAGCAGTGTGCTTGTGCTTTGAGAAAGTTGCAAATAAATAGTTCGATTCCCACAGCCTGCACTCTGGGTTCCTGAGCAAAACCTTTAACCCCTGAATGCTCCCCGGGCGCCACACAATGGCAGCCAACTGCTACCCACAGGGATGGGTTAAATGAAGACAACCAATTTCCCCATTGTGGCATAATAAAGGGATTAACATTTACATTATTTTGGCATATATATTTTTTCCTTACAGTAACTATTGGGTTCAGACTTGGATAAATACATAAATCGCTGCTGATCTTAAATACGCAGCCTTTCAGTTTTTGCTGCTTGCCAAGACAACTCCTGGTTGATCTGGAGCAGAGCATTCAGAAAGGTCCTGGAAGTTGAAAAGCAAAATAGATCCAGTTGAGTTTACAAATGCAGACTCTGCAGGCTTTGGATTGCATTTTCTGGACCAAGTCATAACAAATTATGTTTATAAAATAAACAGCCGTAATAAATGTAAATAATGGATTTAGATAACTGAAAAACTAAATAGACTATAGTTCAAGAGACTATAGCCTGCTGAAGGTTGTGTTTGAATAGAGATGTTATTGGGGTTTGAATACTTTTACAGAGCGCTTCACCTGCATTTTGGGATTATCTCTTTTCTTGAACTATTTTCTGTGTCTTTATCTTGTCAGGCTCTCACAAACGTAGTCACAGTCTAGGAGAGAAGGAGATTGGGCGATCGCCTCCGTCTCCAGCTCCGGAGCAGCCTTTCAGAGATCGTTCCAACACGCTGAGCGAGAAGCCCATTCTGCCTGTAATTAGGGACAAGTACAAAGACCTGACTGGAGAGGTGGAGGTGAGCAGGTCATCAGTGTGTTACAATATTTATTTATTTTTTTAACCAAGCGGCTTGATGCTCATGGTGTCAGTCTGTTTTGGTTTTGACTTTGTGCTTGTGTGAGAAAGTTCTGTTCTGGGTTTTTGCAGGAAAGCGAGCGGTACGCATACGAGTGGCAAAGGTGTCTGGAAAGTGCTCTGGAGGTTTGTAGAGCTTTTTTTTTTCCTTCCACATATTCTTTCATCTACGGGCAAAAGATTTTCTCTATAACTCCAGGAATGATTTCAAAACATTTTGAAAATGCATCCTGATAGCTTGCATTGTATATTTGAACACTTCTGAGAAATCCAAAACAAAAGTCTTTTAAACTTTTTTTTTTGTTAATAAAATATCAAAATAAAAGAAGCCTTGGCTACAAAGAGTTTCCATTTGTGTTACTGTACTAATTAATTCTGTATATTTTTTGCTTATTTTAAACCCATCTAAACTCAACAGCGGATGTGTCCAAAACGTTCACATTGTTTAGCTAATGATGGTTATATGACAAAAAACAAGAAATAGCATGTGTGACTCAACGCTGGCTTCTGCTGCTCCATGTTAAGGTCATCACCAAGGCCAACAACACGCTGAACGGCATCAGCAGCTCGTCCGTCTGCACTGAGGTCATCCAGTCTGCCCAGGGCATGGAGTACCTGCTGGGTAAAGAACCACACACACTATAGTGAAAAAAACATCAGGGGCTTGAACCGTCTGCAGATTGCTCTGTTGGACAGAGATTATAAAGATGAAGAAGAAAGGGAGGATTTAGGTACCTAGGTGCTGACTATATTTTCATGGCCATCATTTATGGACTTGTTTTTCACTAGGTTAAACTTGAAACGTTGGTTTGAATATACAACATTTAATCTTATGATTTAAGGAAGTAAAGAATTTGGCCAAATTTACTTAATTGTGGATTTTCTCTAATCTACAAAAGGCTTAAATTTATACATAGACATGCCTGAATATTTTAATATGTGAAGTCACAAGGGCAGCAGTCTTAGCAGAGACTCTTAGATTTGCCTCTCCCTAGACACCACCTCCAGCTCTTCAGCTCCTCTCGCTCCATTCTCCTGTTATTTATGAACAGGACCCAAAGATACTCCTCCACTTAAGGCAGAACCTGTTCTTTCTGAAGGACACCATGGTCTCGGACTTGGAGGAGGCGATCCTCATCCAGGCCACTTGCATTCGGCTGCGAACAGCCCCAGTTGATGCTTAAGGCGGAGGCAGTCAGCAGAATAACATCATCTGCAGGCAAAATCCCCTGGTTCCCAAACCAGACCCCTCTGGCCCTTATTTAACATCAGTGATGCAAACCAGGTACTTGCTTCACTTCTACAACAACCAGATGGCCACTAGTGCAGTGGGTATGACTCTGTATCTCTGGAAACCTCTCTAAACTTCTCCAAGGCCTGAGTTTTTGTCTCTGCGACCACCTGGTTAGCAGCACACTGATACCACCTTGAGGTCTCAGGAGTCCCACAAACCACCAGGCTTGATAGGCTCAATCTTCAGCTTGACAGTATCCCTTACATGGTCCACTCAGACTCCATGTTCCCAGCCTCCCCCTGATCTAAGAGAAGCTCTCCTGGAGGTGGAAATCGAATACGTCCCTGACTGGGGGCTCCTCTTCTTCTCTGCAGACTCTCACTATTAGCCTAAGCCTGCTGAGTCTGTCCGGCTTACTCCTCTTTTAAACTCAACAATAGTTGTGTTTGTGGACAGCTCTGCTCTTCTCTTCACCCAAGTGTCCAAGACATGCAGCCAAAGGTCAGAAGATAGGACATGAAAGTGTGTCGTTTCCCTAGGCCTAGGGTGTCCCATTGCCAAATGCAACATCGACAATCTTAGACTTGCACAGAAGTCCAAAAATGAAATGCCACCTAGTTTCAAAGCCGGGGGTCTGTTCTGTGAAATCACGCCCCTCCAGGTGTCACCTTCATTTTCCAACCATAAGGTCCTAGTAGGAAAAGTAAACTGAACATCTCTTCTGAACAATAACGTGTTTGTCTGACACCTTCTGACCTTTTTTTTTTTTTATCGCTTATGGTATGATTTTTTATTTATTTATGTAATTGATTTTGTACATCAGGTGTGGTGGAGGTGTATCGAGTGAGCAGACGAGTGGAGCTGGGCATCAAGGCGACCGCAGTGTGCTCAGAGAAGCTGCAGCAGCTGCTGAAGGACATCAGCAGAGTGTGGAACAACCTAATTGGCTTCATGTCGCTGGCTAAACTTGTAGTAAGTCACTCAAAAACATCCAGAACAGACAAACGGAGCATGTGCCTAATATATAATATCCTAATGCATGCTTCTTCATCAGTGCATGTTTAATTTCACACGGCAACAAAGCATTGAAGGCTTTGGTGACATACTTTATTAATGAAGGGCTGGGCGTCTGTTTTCTTTTTCTGATGCAATGATGTCAGAGCTTTCTAAAAGATCTGAGTTAGAAAAGATTTATCAGGCACATCATTGGTGTTTTCCAAAGAACTTTAACAAGGTTTGATTTTTATCTGATGTCTTTTTTTTTTTATCTAGCCAAGCCAATGGGTTTTAAAAGAAATTTTGAACTTTGGATTGTCGCTGGGGCGACAGTGGGGTCAGATGTAGAAGTTTGCCCTGAAATTGAAGTGTTGACGGTTCAAACCCCAGCTCTGGCTTTCAGTGTAGTTGTGTCCTTGGGCAAGACACTTCACCCACATTGCCTTCTGATGGTGGTCAGAGGGCCCGGTGGCGCCAGTGTACGGCAACCTCGCTTCTGTCAGTGAGCCCCAGGGCAGCTGTGGCTACAGTGCAGTTTACCACCATTAGTGTGTGAGTTTATGGGCGAATGACTGAATGTAGTGTCAAACGCTTTGGTCGAGTCTCCTGACTTGAAAAAGCGCTATATAAGTACTATTTATATTTTCCAAATATAAAATGAAATAGTGTACAAAATAACACATTTTTCAAGGCTGTAATTTGTTGTCTGATGGTTTCTTATATTCACAGGACTAACTTAAAAGGAAGGTTTTTAAATCTCAATTAAACTTTCCAGGTTTAATGAAAATTTAAAAAAACAGACTATGGTCTTCTCAATATATCTGTCTCTTTAATTCCTTAATTCATCAGTGCATTTATTAACTTTCCCATTAATTTTTCATGGAGACTTTTAGGGTATTTCTATTCTTTAATATTCATTAAACATATATAATTCTTTTGTTATTTTAGAGTTTTCTTGTCAATCAATTTCTCCTTCTTTGTCCATCCATCATTTGCCCTCCGTCTTCCTTCATGTCCTGCTGGGGTTGTGTTTTTGTTTTGTTTTTTTGTTGATGGTTGCATATTTAATTCCCCACCCCTATAATATTTATGAGCCTAAAATGACTTGATAAACTGAAGGTAGGTAGGGATTGCTTGTCATTTTGAAATAAAAAATGTTTAGAAGTCATGAAGGGTTTATAGAAAATAAAAGCAGTGATGCATGAAGATGTTTCATTTCCTTCTCAGTCTGATCACTCGCATATGACTGCATACCTCTCTGCTGCAGGAGATGAACCATGTTTATGTTCTGTGTTTGTTTGTGTGCAGCCAGATGAAAGCTCCCTGGATTTCTCCTCCTGTATTCTGAGGCCCGGCATCAAGAACGCCAAGGAGCTTGCTTGTGGAGTGTGTCTGTTGAACGTCGACGCTCGTAGCAAGGTTTGTTCACACAAAGACGCTCCTGTCGTAGAACCATTCTTACAAAAGTGTTGTTTTCAGCAACATGTAATTCTTGATGTTTCTATGACTTTGAAACATTTTTGCAGAACAAAGAGGGAAGCGCTATTGGACGTCTGTTAAAACGAGTATGAACCAGTCAAACTGTCATCCAAATCTGATTCTATTTTCTTTTTCTCTCTCTTGGGACCTCGGGGGTCTGTTCTCCTCTAATAAGTCAGGCCCTGTAGGGGGCCAAAGTGACAGGATCCATCTCTCCACAACTCATCTATTATATTTCAGGATTTTTTGTATTTACATCAAAGTCTGTTCACCATGCAGAACGTTAAAGAAAAGCAGAAATTTTAAATCTTTCTTGTAAACTGTACCACAAAATAAGACTTTTTGAGACTTTCAGACTAAACCCATCTTCATTCAGGTCTCCATGCCTGTCAAGTGCTTACTTCACACAGGCCTTATTCATGGCAGTAATCTGCAGGATGTCTCATAACGACCTGAAGGATCCAAAATTTTTTTAAACGTTTCTTTAATTCTTTAGCGACTTTTCCTCCTTCATTTGATCAGTGCAACATATGGTCAGGATCTTCCCTAACATCCTTTTTGCTTAGACATTTTAAACACGAAGGACCATCGTGGGCAAATCGCTCAGGGTGCATGCTCAAAGATGGACTTAACTTTTTATTCTTCCTCTCAAATGTAAACAGAGCAGCGTGGCAGGGATGCAATGAGTGAAATGCAGTTCTGTCTGTAAAATTGACACGGCTGCCACGTTTGCTCAGCCATGTCTTTGTCCAAATACGTCGTCGCCTTTTCTTTTTTAGGGCTTTCAGCACAAAATTGCACAAATTGCCAAGACAGCGCATTTCAATATAGTGAGCTTCATATTCCTCTCCTACTGGTTTAGCTTCCAGATAGACGAGTCAGAGCAGCTCCATCTCACTGTGGAGCTGAGTCCGACGTGGTTTTTAGTCGCACAGTGTGAGCAGGTAGATTGCATGAGAGCGTTGGGCCGAACACGACTGAAACGACTGGAGAGAAAAAAATCGCACAGTGTACGCACAGCTTTATATTATTTTCCATGTGAATCCTAGTTTGTTCATTCTTCTTTGCCTTTTCTAAAAAGTGCTTTACATCAGTTGTACCTGTGTTTATCCATGCTTGGTCAGATCCTGACATTTGAAAAAGAAGAAGGGTAAGGCAGAATATAGCGTTAGCCTCGCTGCATGCAGCTAGCCAAGCCTTCTTGCATCATTTCTCTCTATCTCTCTCTCTCCAAAGCATCTCAAATTCCTGTGACTCGAAATGTCAATAACCTACAAAACATCTGCACTGTCATGGAAGGTGGTGAGCAAATACACTTCCTGTCACCTCAGGTCGCAGCATTCCTGAGCCCTGATCTCTCCTATAACTTTGTATTGCAGAGGAGTTACTGCACATGTGCAACGTTTAACGAGAGTCTATGGGCGAAGATTATTGTTCCCTAGGGTGGAAATATGTCACCAATCCGAGGAAAAATGAAATGGCGCTTTACATTAAAGATTAAATATTTCTTACAGTTCTCATTGATTAACATGACTGCGCAAATTCTCTGCATGACGTACGTGAGCGGATCAGTGACGGTGAATGTGGAATCTGGGGGTCACACATGCAGGACAGTGGCCATAGAGGACCAGCTTTTGGCAGCCCTGCTTTAAAGCATCAAACTTGATGCATTTTATTGGTATTTCTCTGTGGTTGATCAACACAAGCAATCCCATTCATGCTCCTTTTAGAGTAGTTTCCTCACATAGAATAAATAAAATGAAAAGCCAGAATAAGTTATGAAGCAATATTCCATGCGCTGCACACATACAATCAATCCTCTAGAAATGGAAGAGTATTGATCAGTGGCAAATCTACCAACACCTGGAGGTCCAACTAAACTGAAACTGGACAGATAGAGGGTTAATCATGGTCCGGGGCACCTAGGGTTATTCTGAAGGTGTAGATTTCTCTTTCCTCCTCCACCTTCTACAATACACTGTCATTAATTGGACTGTAGATAAAATGAAATTTAAAAAGAGCAGCCAACGTTTAAAGAAAAACCTCAAATGATGTGCAGAAAGTGGAGAACTGTTGATCAGAGCTACTTGGCGATAAAGAGTCCGAGTGTATTTAGCACTTTTCTGGTCCTTCCGACAACAAAGCTTTTTACATTGGAAGCTGTTAGGTTTAAACACCAAACATTTTATTCAGTAACCTGTACAAAGAAAGACACAGAGAATTCAGTATAATTTACTTGCAAGGAGAGGGGGTCAGAAACTGCATTCAGTTACAACCTCCAACCCACTCTGAAACAGTTTCCGCTTTCTCCAAGCCTTTATTGAGGAACGCCCTGGCTACAATGTTGGTTCCGACTGCTAAAAAGGAGGAGGGGGTGAAACCAGTCGGAACCAGAAGTTTTGCATTACATCATACAATATCATAAGATAAGGAGAGCTTCACTCCTCATCCGGTGCCAGTACGTGCAATCCTCCCCTTTCCACCAATCTCCATGACCTTGCTTCCTGCACACACTAGTAACAAGCATTAGAAAGACAGCAAGTGAAACATTTCAACACTTTGTGTAATACAAGTATACAGGAATATGCAAATGTGTAAATATGAATGTATAAGTATAATATGATTAAAGTAGAATAACTTGTACAATTAATCCAACATTTCCCTCCTGTTTATTCACTTTAAGCTATTTATTTTATCATTCAGTAGTTACTTCTTTTCACATTTTCAACTATGAAATCATGTTTTAGCTGTAAAGGGTACACTCAGAGGTACTTTAAACTAGTGGGTCACTGTTAATGTCATTGGAATTAGGATAAAAGTCAGGAAAATGCAAAGAGATTTCATCCTCTTCGCTGTCTTCATCATCAGATGGGTATTTTTCAGTGGGCATGAGGGCATACATTTCTGCTTTCATGGGTTGTATTGCTGTGGTAATTAGTCTATTTAGCAGCGCTCTAATACATGGAATACAACAACATCCACATAAGGTCAAGATGGCGGCAAATACAGCTATAGACATTAAAATAGAAAGCACCAATTGTTTGTATTTACCAAAAATGTCTCCAAATCCATCCCACATTTTTGTGTCAACTCCAGAATGGTCTTTCATTTTGCTGTTAAGAGAGCGAAGGCCTTCAAGGGCCTTTGTGAGGCTGCCATCTGCAGCGGTGTTGTTGGGAATAAAGGTGCAACACTGATCTCCAAAAATAGAGCACACACCACCTTTTTCAGCTAACAACATGTCAACAGCAATACGGTCCTGGAAAGCCATCAGAGAGGTAGCTGACAATTGTTCATGGACGGCGGAGAAGCCTTGTTCTGTTTTATTTCCCAGCCTCTGGACGTTATAATGGATGTAGTTGATTCTGTCTACATTTTTATTTAGAGTACACCACCAGCATAAGAAAGATTCAAATCCTGCAGAAACTTGATTGGCTAGTTTATACTCATCAGGAACACCTCTGGGTACCCCAATGCTATCAATATAAGTAGGGTCATCTCCACTCCATGCATTTTCAGATGCCCTCCTCCTTCTAGTATGCTCTGTGTGAGGTAAAATGCTGTTTGCAGTCGTCAACAATTCATCCGTTGTGAGTGATGTAACAGAAACAGGTAAAATCAAGGTGACAGCAGCACATAATCCAGTGGTGTTACATGGAAGTCTGTCAAACAATTTGTCATCTCCACACCACCACCAGATGTCGCTGTGGGATTGGGGTTTAAAAAAGGCGGATACCAGTAAAATACTTGCACATTGTGTTTCATTTAGTGTGCCTAGTTTCGGGCCCACTCCGGTTCTGTTTACACAGGTGAAATTTGCCACAGCTACTTTTTTCAAAAAGATTGGTTTCTTTTTCTCAGTTGTGGTCAGGGGATAGATGTTATCCCAATAGGTGCAATTATCAGATGGGACCGTATAATTCATTTTATCTAGAAGACATTGAGGAGTTATGGTGGCAGGAACCACACGTAACAGCTGTCTAGCTCCCATATACACAAGACAATCATTAGACACTGTTTTAGCTGCTTGTTCTGCCATTAAAAGCCAGTTGTTTGTTTGCCCAGAGATTCCAGTGATGACTTGAAACAATTCATCTGTTTTAAGCGGACCATTAATATTTTGAATTTTTATCTGTTCACCTTGGGCAGAAGTAAGAATCCCTTGTATCTCATCTCCTTCTTGTGTAATATTTACGGGGCACAAATACAAAGGCCAACATGGATCGGTTCCACTAGACCGTGCACATAGAAATGAGGAAGAACAGCCTTCCTTCTCAAGGGGTTCTGCTGTGGAGTTTATTGTCATAGTGAAAACTTTGGAGGCATGGTTAACAGTGAACCCTGATATTCTACTCATCCATTTCTTAGCTAAAGGTGTCCATCCATACGATCCCTTTTTCCACTGTCCAGTGGTTCTAAATACGTCTCCCCAACCATTATGAGTTCTTTGAACTACGCGAGGAAATAGGTAGAAATCATAACCGTGCCAATTTCCCGGGTCATGTTTAAATCTTTGCGAGAATGTTTGAAAAGGAATAGTCACCAAACTGATTACTCTAGTAGAGTTATAGCAGAGATAGACGTCCCTTTTACAAATAACTGGATCATGAGGGCAACAAGAATCCTTGCCCTGAGTGAGAGCTAAAGACAAAACTAATATGAATAATCGCAACATCATCTAGGTTCAAACTTCAAAAAGTGTTCTATGGATAATCTTTTTACACAATGGTCTACTTCCTATGACCTCTCGGCAGAGTTGTTGAATCTTCACCAGTTTGAGATGGTTGTATGCTAAAAAATACGACCCCCTTTGTACGATGGACTTCCTCTGAAGGTCGGTGAAGGAGACCAAATGTGTATTCTATAACAGGTACCACAGTAGGATGACTAGAATGCTAAGCAGTATGGTAAGGTTCCAGAGAATAATTAAGAAGGTGATTTTACTTATTACTCATCTGATCTAACTATCACTTTCTTGCAATCCATTTAGAAAACAAATCTATTATAACCAAACAGAATTGAAAGGATAAATAGGTTTAGGGAAAGCACCTTTTTTAGGTCTTAAATTTCCTTGAAGATTATGTTT